GCCGCCGCCGAAGGAGAAGAAGACGAAGGAGAAGAAGCCCCGCGAGCCTAAGGAGAAGAAACCGCGCGAGCCCAAGGCGCCCAAGACGACGGCGAAGGGTAAGGCGAAGGAGGCGGAGGTGTTCAAGAGTCGCGAGTTCGTCGAGGATAGCGAGGACGACGATGCCACGCTTCCTCATCCTGCGCCCCGGCAGTCGTCTGAACGTACGTATTTTGCTTCATCTCGGTGTAATCGTCTCCTAACGCTTTTTGGGGCGCAGGTGTGCTTGTTCCTGCTACATCGTCTATCCCAGTCGCGGCTGCCAGACGTACGTTGCACTACACTCTATCTGCTGGTGCCCAGTCTGATTATGATGTAGAGCCTGAAATTCTCGTTCCTGCTACATCGTCTGTGCCCCTTCCGAAGAAGAAGAAGCGCGTTGTTCTCTCGAGCGACGAGGAGGACGAGCTCGACCCTACTCCTTCCAACGCGAGTAAGTCCTCCCCGGCCTACGTTCATATCATCCATATACTGACTCGAGCGTGTGCATATAGCACCGACAAGTACACGGCCGAGTGCGCCGCTGCCTATCGTTCCGTTCACCGGTGCGTCGCCTCTGATGATATGCTTCTGTATGTTATCGGAACGCTTACATCCGTCTTCAGCTTCAGCTTCATCGGCGGCGGCAGCGACGACGGCGAAACCTACCTCTAAGTCGCAGTCGAAGCCGACCCCTGCGCCTGCGCCTTCGTCCTCATCAAAGCCTACGCCGGTCTCTGCGAAACCTTCCACATCGAAGTCGAGACCTACACCTGCGCCCTCGTCTTCGTCTTCGTCGAATCCGAAACCGTTCTCGGGCATGGACGCTGCGCGCCAGGCGCTCGAGGCTGTCAAGAAGTCGAAGAAGCGCAAGTCGGACGCGGAGGGTGTGGGCTCGTCCAAGAAGAAACGCAAGTCGGACGCGGCGACTGCTGTTGTTGGCGAGGAGGACGTGCCCACGGCCAAGACGAAGAAGCGCAAGAGCGTCGTCGAGTCGGACGACGAGCCTACACCCGACCCCTCGACGTCCAAGGGCGAGCCGAAGAAGAAACGCAAGAGTGTCGTCGAGTCGGACGACGAGCCCGACGCTGAGCTCTCGGCATCCAACAAGCCCGAGTCGGAGGTGGGCAAGCCGAAGAAGAAGCGCAAGAGCGTTATCGAGGACGAGAAGGACGAGTTCGATCCCTCTGAAGTACCCGCGCTGAAGACCAAGACCAAGCCGAAGCCGACGAATCTTACTATGGAGGTCGTCCTTCCCGCGAAGAAGAAGCGCGCGAGTTCGGGCTTGGGATTGGGGAGCGACGCGCCGACGTCTGACGACCTGAAGTCCAAGAGCCCTTCTCCGCCGACTCCAACTCCAGCTCCTGCGTCTACTTCTGCGCCGAAACCCGATTCCTCTTCCGCGTCAACACCGCTACCCCAGCCGTCCGCCGCCGCCGCCAAAGCCTTCGTCGCGCCCTCACCCGCGCCGTCCACTCCCACCCCCGCGTCGAAGGAAAACATCCCCGCTCGTCCAGGGGGCATGTCCGCCCTCCTCCACCGCACGAAACTCCACGCTCCCCTCCGAAACCTCTCGTCATCGCGTCGTTCTTCCTTAACGCATATCGCACCTCTCCATCCGAATCGGCGCGATCCTGTTGCTGTGCCCGTTGCGCCGCCCCTGAAGAAGGATAAAGGAGGCAGCTCGAAGGAGGAGGACGAGGAGTGGGAGGAGTGGATGAAGGATAAGGAGGAGAGTGGGGGTGAGGTGTTGGTTCGGAAGTTGTGGGCTAGATGTGAGGAGGGGGTTGGGGAGTGGGGGGAGTGGACTGTTGGGCAGAAGAGGGCGTATGTGCGTGCTGTGAGGGAGGGTAAGGGCCGCGGTTGAGTGCATGGGTGGACTTGTTGGAGTCGTTCGCTAATTTGTACTCTGAATTGTAGACTTGTGTAGATGTTCCCGTGGTAGTATCAAGTTGACCCCTTTGTCGGCCGCAATACTGACTTCGGCGGCGTGACCCGATCGAGTTGCTCTTGCTTCTAACCACGAGGTGCATGGCCGGTACGGACAGCAATGATCCTGAGCACCTTCGCATCGCTCTAGCCGCGTTGAATATTTCGTCCGAGATTACTGGAATCTCCGTAGACGCGTGTCGATATGGCGGCATAGCAGATATCTACCAAGGCGTGCGGATGAGCAGTGGCGCTTCTGGGCCCACCAGCGTGCGTTATAGCGTCGCATCTGACTTTATTCTGACAAGTAGATAGGTTGCTATCAAGTTCATACGGTCGAACAAGAAGGAATTCGAGACGATGTTGCGGGTGAGTCCGTACCCGTTTGCAGTTCATGGCGCTTACTGTATGTGCAGCGATACCGACGCGAGATACGAGTATGGCAAGGAATAGATCATCCGAACGTCCTTCCGTTACTTGGCTTGTACTGGGGAAGTCGTCAGCTCCCAGCCCTTGTTTCACCGTGGTGCGAGCATGGCAGCATCAGCGCCTACCTCCAGACGCTGCCTGCTGGGGTTGACGTCCTCCAAAGGAAGCATGTATCGGTAAGTGTGTTTACGCCTTGCGCGCATTCTATCTGAGGTAGTGTGCAGTTACAGGAGATCGCTCGCGGCTTAGCCTATCGTAAGCATGGAGCTCCCTAAACCCTGGTAACGTGCTGCCCACTACTACTTCTAGTACACAGCTTCACACCACCTATCATTCACGGCGATCTGAAAGGCGTACGTACTCATTCAAATGATTCACGCTCCAACTGACTTCATGGGTGCCGAAAGGACAACATCCTTGTCTCTGATCGCGGTGTCGCAAGGATCTGTGACTTCGGGCTCTCTAGGATTACCGCGGTGACTACAGAAACTCTCACTACCGTCCGCGGAACGCTGCGCTGGATGGCTCCCGAACTCCTTGAAGACGACGCATGCACAACAACAGCAACAGACGTATGGGCGTACGCCTGTGTTATGATAGAAGTACCATCAACGCAACGTATGCCGATTCACTCTGACAGCTGCGTCAGATATGCAGTGGCACCCGCCCATACTCGGAGAAGGCGTCAGATCAAGCAGTCGTCCTTGCTCTCGCGCGTGGGGAACCTCCTGCTCGGCCAATTGGCCTATCGGATGCGTGCTGGTCATTGGCGCTCAGGTGTCTTGCCCCTATACCCGTTCAACGTCTAAGCGCAGAGCACATCGTCACGGACCCACTCTTCGATGGGATTCCCGCAGAAGATGCTGCATTCATGTCAGTGGAAGACCCCGCCTTCAGTACAACGCGCCCTCGGCACCCACAAGGAGAGAATGTGCCGGGATCGGTTGATATGAAGGAACGGCAAGACGACCACCCTCGACGGACGATGATAGTACGCGAGATCGTAGAGTACGTTCGTTAGTCCGTGTACTACAGGCATACTCTGACGGAAGGACAGAACCGAACGTGTATACGTGTCGCGCTTGCGAGAAGTCGTCGACATCTACATCAAACCCGCCGCTGCGTCCATCACGAACATATCGAGTGCCTTCACATCTGAAACTACGGTGCCAGATTTCGATCGTAGGATCGTGTTCGGAGTCCTGGAGCGAATATATGACCTGCACAGGGATACTGTCTTACCTGCACTTGAGGCGGCGGTGCTTCCTCTATTCTCCTCGATGGATCCTAGCCCAGGAGTGTCAGCTGTGGCGGCGGTCAAGATTGCTGAGGTGTTCGCTTCGCGCTCGCTGAACTTCATGAAGCTTTACTCGCAGTACATGAGGTATGTAGGTCATTGATAGATACGAAGCCGTGACAACTGCTGATTGATTACGCACAGTAACTTCGACAACGCTTCTCGGCGCGTGGGAGAATGGACAAGTCGTTCTTCATTTAACGTGCAATTTGTGTCGACGTCTGCCGAGACTCTACCACCCGCATCACCATTATCGAGCGTCGAACAGAAGCGGATCAGAAAGTACCTGAAGCGGTGTCGAACACATCCCCGCCATAGCGCGTTGTCCCTCGAGGGGTATCTGATACTACCAGTCCAACGCATACCACGGTATCGTGCATTGCTCGACATGCTGGTCCAAGCGGCAGCCCCACTCCCTAACAAGGAGACCGACGTACTAGACATCGCCGTCTTCGAAATCGAGGAATTATCTCAGCACATCAGTGAGGTTCGTCGTACGTCCGAGTCACGGGCCAAGCTCGTTCAATGGCAACATCGAATCCGCGGCGAGTTTCTCGCTCCCTTGGTACAGCCAGATCGGTACGTAGATCATCAACGTTGAATTTCGGGCAATGTTCTAATCGATGTCAATATACAGTCGCCTGCTGTTAGACGGCCGCCTCATACTTACCCGCGTTGAACGCGTATCGGTCTCAGACGCTCTGCAACCCGTACACCCCGATGACGATCAGACTCGGTCCGTAATTCTGGACTTGACGCCTCGATTCCTCGTCATGATCCTCTGCAACGATATCCTCGTCTTGTGCAAGGATCAATCTGGAAGGAGAGACCCGAAATCACATCTAGCCCTTTGCGCTGCTTTCTGCTTGAGTGGTACGCAAAGTCTACTGTATCCTGCGACAGTGGAGCGGAACAACGGTGAGTACGCAGACTATTAGTGTCGCATACCATACTTACTTGACCCGGCACATAGTTCTTTGTATTGTACACAGCGAAGCTACTTTATACTTTGACGCTTCGTCAAGCTCTGAGGCGATGACGTGGTGCGAGGGTGAGTCAGTCCAGTTATAGATTGCCTAGACTAACGCACAACTGCAGCGGTGAATACCACTCTTACACTGAACTTGTAACTTCACGCGGCGTCGCTCCTTCGGCGCCCTCTGACGGAATAACACGGCGAAGATGTGTTCCCCCAATGTATTCTACTGTATCATCTACTCCGAGACTGGATGCGGGGCATACTTGGAGGCGCCTGATTCACGACGCGTAGCAAAAGTCGAAGTCGACGGTGGCTACTATATACCGCCAATAACGTGATATGGCAACTGCCCTCTTAGCTCAGTGGTAGTAGCGCGTCACTAGTAACGGAGAAATTTCGGAGCTCAATGACGAGGTCAGTCGTTCAAATCGGCTAGAGGGCATTCCTTTTGCTTCCTCGTTACGTTGTTTTTGTTGAATTACATGTGCGGGAGCCAAAATCTCCGTCCCCGAACAATTACGGAGACGGCGGACTGGACCGCTCCACTATCGGGAAGTGCCGCAGGAATCCGCTACGAAGGACATCCTTGCGTCTTCTACCCTCGCAGCCCTAATCATCACGTCTACTAGCGCCGCAGAGTCGGCTGAGCTCTTTCCGTAAGCTTTTAGGAAAGCTTTCGAAGAGCCAGACCGTTCGGGGTCCTTCGCTATCAGTCAAACTGCATGGCGAGGTCAATGCCGGATCACTGCAGATCTCTCAAATCTGGCAAGCTAAGAGTCCCCTTCACCAGATCTAGAGAGTGTATCTAAGTGGAGTTTGCACGTACAACACCGCGTTCTAACGTCTCGGCGTCGACTCACGAGAGGTCTGTTGTACACACAACACACCGTTATGTGGCCCCAGCACCATTAGCGAAAGCACCTATAGCACTACTTGCCGCCTTTACGCCCGTGGTCGCCGTGGATGCCCTGTACCCGACTTGAACGACTCGGGTACGGCGGCTACTCCCGCACTTTGTTCAAGTCACCCCATCTGCCGCGACCATGTCTAAGGCTACGATGCCGCCTGACCAGCATTCTACAGCATTTCATGGACCCATCATTGCTTATGTGCGGGACCTCCAGCGCACGACGTGTCGCAGTGTTGACAGGAACTTCAACATGATTAACGAAGAACCGAGGCGCGTATTTTGCGTCAGATGCCCTGGATAAGACTTCAGGATCATTGCACGGTCGTTGTCTGTCTTTGCGACGATCGCTACCTTGCGCACGCTATAGTCCGTCTTGAGCTTCACGTCATCTGACGCTCCGAAGTCCGGAGCCGGGGGCAGAAGGAACAGCGATTGTGAGGAGAGATTCCTGGCCCGAGTCGCATTGTATGTACACCGTGCTGAGAACGTTAACGCACAACTAAGAAGTGTCTCTTCATCACGGACTAGTACGACGAGCGCCACTGAACACCCACCGGCGCAGTAACGTCCCACGCTAGGTTCAAATCAATGTTCCCTCCCGCGGGAACAGAGCACACCCACTCGAGAATTCCGTCACCCGTCTCTCCCTCCGCAGGGTTCTCCTCATTCTTCAACGCCCATCTCGCCCTCACGCCCTCGATCCCATTGACAGGGCCGGGTATGTCCTTTGGCTCGAGCACAGAAACCTTGATGCGTGCGTCCTGACTCACAGGCACTTGGTCGCGCACAACAAGCTTCTTCACGGCCGAGCGACGGGTATTCTTCACGCTGATACGTTGCGAGAAGGAGGTCGTGGACGTCTTGTTCGACGCGGACGCGAAGAGGGAGCCAGTAGCTCTGGCGAGATGCTTCGATTGTGGGTGATACGTGACGCGCACGGCGCCGTCGACGCCGAGCGAAGTCGACAAGCTCTCTTGCGGCGAGACATGCTGCAGAGGAATGGTGTGTCAGCAGGTAGCGGAGGAGGGGCATAAAGAGCGACTAACGGAGATGGTCGATTTTGCCACGAAGGAGTTGCCCAGGTAGACGCTCGCCTGGCCGGGTAGGAGCGGATACTGAGATGTATTCTTCACCTTGCACTAGCACCAAAAGAGCGTCAGACGACGCGCTTGAAGAGGCAGGAAATATACCCACCTGTAAGAAAACGCTGGGGATCTCCTTAGGAATCGTGATCCATTCCAAGTCGACGTTGGAAAAGGTCAGCTCAGCGACCGAGACCTTGTGCGTCTGCGAGTTTGCGTCCGTATCGCTCGGGATAGTCGACAAGCCCTCGATAGCGAACGTCGTAGATACGGTGCTCTCCGATACAGCAGCTACCGGCGCGCGTATCACCGGTGGTGGTGGCGGCGGCGCCGGGGGCATCGAAGCAGGAATGGCCATCGTAGCAGGACCTGTACCAAACGGAGGGCCGGCTGCTTGGGCGGCACCGAACAGGCCCCCGGCGGGTACACCAAAGGCTGGTGTTGCAGCAAGTGGGCCCGGGGGGAGGACAGCCTGACGTTGTGCCATCTGTCCGAATGCGCTGAACGCGCCGACTGACGGCATTTGAGGCCACGTCGTAACCGGGGGAGGGACGTCGACCTGGGAAATAGTTTGGGGTTTGAGCGTCGGGATGTCGCTTCCGAGCTGCGGCGACGCGGTGCTCAGCGTCAGGTGTACACCGTCCCATGGTTCGCCCGTACGCTGCGCAATGGACGCGCGGTAGTGCAGTAAGACCTGGCTGTTGCTGCCCTCCTTCGCATCCGCGACTGAGGCGCGCAGGTCGTAGAGCGGTGTCCAGGACGCACCGGAAACGTTATAGGTCAGCGAGAGCTCAGCGTCGCCGTCCGTCTCGCTGAGCACGACAATCGTCAGCTTGACAGCACGCTTCTGCGACTCGACGTCCTTGTGGCTTGACAGCTGTTCTACCCGGGCTTCCTCGTCGACAGCGGCGATCTTGTCGTCGAGAGCGACAATGCCCTCGTTGATCGCGCGCCCCTTCTCGAGGAAGAATTCGAGGAAATCCCCGAGCTTGGACGCTTCTGTATCCTTAGAGTCGAGCGTCTTGGCATAGTCGCCCAAGATGGCGGCTTGTCGGTATAAGAGCTGCTTTTCAGCGCCCAGCGCGTTGCGAGTCTTCATGAGCGGCTTGACAGTGTCGGTTTGCCCAAACCAAATCACGTTGGGTGGGGACGGGGGTGGACCTGATAAGGAGCGTCTATAAGCGAGGCCGTCCACGCGCCGTACTTGAACTAGACTCACTGTATATGACATCGAACACAGTAGCGGATCCGATTCCGTCGACGCGAATACTATCCTGGTCAAGTCCAGAAGGTAAATGCGACACGACAACGTCGTTCTGGCCGGCCTGCGTAGATACCAAGGTCCTCAGCATCTTGCGCAGCTTCGCATGAAGATTGTGGCTGCCGGTAACGTACCTTGAGTTGAACTTTAATCCGGCGGTTGACCTCAGCGCGGTCGACCTGGAACACGGTCACTGAGTGCACGTTATGAGCTGTAGCATCGTATTCGACAATGTTCGCCATGTAGAGGCGAGTAATGTCGTGGTCGAGAGACAAGATGCTGCGGAATAGCCCATGACAGTTGAAGTTCAAGCCTGACTCCGTCCGGATGCATTTGCCAGTGCGCGGGTCCGGATTCCAGATCGGATGCAAAGCAAGCCCTATAAGAATCACGTAAATTCGTATACCCCATGCGGCAAACACGTTAAACTGTATTATAGGGATCATGGACGTAACATACGTAACGGAGATACAGTAACCAAACTACAACTACGATTCAGATGACCCCCAACACGTGTGCAAGAAGAACAAGAGTGCAGGTGTCGACTGAAGGATTGGTTATACGGTATATTATACTTATATAATACCGCGTATCAACGACTGGCAAGTCCAGGAGCTCGCAATGCAGTCGACAGGTGAACTCCGCTTGGCACTTGTCCCAAACGGTCATGGCGGTGGCAGGCAGCAGCCGCGACAGTTCCGCTTCTTGGCCTCTAACGACGACGACGATTCCGCAAAATGGCCAACAAGGTCGAATACGACGCCACGGCGCATCATGTGCACTCCGTAACCGTCTTCCAAGTCGACCGCGCAGAGGTGAACCGTCGCATTCAAGTGCAATTGAAGGTGCGCGCATCGGGCAGTAATAGATACTGTATTAGCACTCATGGACTCCTAGGCCGGTCAGAACGACGTCGTTGTATCGCATTTGCCCTCGTACTTGGACGAGGACAGCATTCGTGTCGACGGGATCGGCTCTGCCACCGTTTTCGATGTTGTATACAGTGCGTTCCTTGTCTCCCAATCGTCCATTGACTGATTGCGTTCAGGCTCTCCACCACCTACTGTTGATTCAGCAGAAAACGAGACTCTAAAGGCTCTGGAAAAGAAACGCAGCGCGCTCGAGGCCGAGAAGGACTCGCTCACGCAACAGGTCACCGTACTCAGCGACTATGCGAAGACTCTCAACGCCAAGGATACGGACGCCTCGAAGCTTATGACGTTCCTGGATCTCTTCTCTGAGAAGAAACTCAAGCTCAACGAAGCCCTCGTCGCCGTCGACGACAAGATCGCCGCTGTCGAAGCGGAAATTCGCGACGAGCAGCTGTCAAGCCACGAGGACGTCGAGTCACAGAAGCGGGGCGTCAAGATAACGATCGTCGTACTCAGCGAGGCGGACGGCGAGGCCGAGTTGTCGCTCACCTACACCGTCTCCGGCGCATCTTGGACCCCGCTGTACGATTTGCGCGCCTCCGTCACGGACGGCAAGGAGGGCAGCCATGTCCTGCTGCATTACCGAGCATCTATCTCGCAGAGTACGGGCGAACCGTGGGAGGGCGTGCATCTGACGCTCAGCACTGCGTCACCACAGCTCGGCAGCGACATACCCACGCTTAGCCCGCTTACGCTCTCTGAAGTCGCGCGCTATCCGGTCGGTTCTTTTGCGCGGGCTCGCAAGTCTGTGCGGTCCGCGGATCTGGCGGAAAGCGCACCCATGATGGCACTTGCGTCTGCGCCAGGTGGCGGTGGTTCTCCGCCGCAAATGATGCGTATGCGGTCCGCGGCAGTCACGGAGAGCGCTGTCTCTTCGACCTTCGCGATCGAAGGCTTATCGACTATCCCAACCGACACGGACGACGCGTCGCAGACGCACAAAGTCTCCATTGCCGAACTGACGTTCACGAGCGTCGACCTCGAGTGGATCACCGTCCCGAAGGAAGTGTCTAGCGTCTTCCTGCAGGTATGCACATCCCCAAACTTCGCGTACTCGTGCTGAAGTGTAATTTTGCAGTGCAAGGTGAAGAACACGTCTGAATATCCGCTCTTGCCCGGCGACGCGAGCGTTTATCTGGGCAACTCGTTCGTCGCGAAGTCCTCCATCCCGGTTCGTTATCCTATCGTATCCACATTGCCATCACAGCCGCTGATGCCGTACTCCAGCACGTCTCGCCCCACGAAAGTTTCTCAACC